AGGCATATTAGGAATCAGGTGCATTGTGGTGTGAGGATTTCTTAGCATGTGGGTTTTGAAACGTGTTCTCTTTATCTGTGGGTTATACCTGCGGGTGGTGATAGCTGTTTTTTCAGACTCATCCTATTCTTTCTGGAAGCATGGAGAACTTGTCAAGCAAAGTTCCTGTGGCCTTTGCAAGGTTTTGGGGTTTTGGGTTTTTTTTTCTTTTTATTTTTTTGAGAAGTCCCACTGCTGTCAGGGGCCTGAGTAACGGTGGGGCTTACAGATTTTGTACGACCGGTACATTCCAGGAGGGATAGGAAGTTAATGTCAAGTTCTTCCTCCACTTCTGGATTCCTAGGGAAGGGTTTCAGCGATGCCCTAGTAATGTCTGGGTTCCAAAATAAAGCAGGGCACTGTGATATTTAGCCCTGACTCTGTGTCTGGTTTTGGCACTGTTCCAGGCAGACCGACCTCAGAGCTGGTTCCCCCATAATGTCCCCTGCCAGGAGGTGGTGGAGTGACCAGATGGCTGTACCTTTCCAGGGAGGAGTGGACAGTTGCGCTCAATAGGTAAAGGAAAGGGCCTTGTACCCAAGAAGTGCTTCCCCCCTTCAGCGGTCTCGTAAAAGCACACATTGCGTGCCCCTCACCCCCACCCTCTGCTGAACGTGAGGAACTTCCTGGCAGTGGAGAGAGAAAATCTTTGGTTTCATTACTTCGAGCAGCAAAGAGAACATGGGGTCTAGAGGCGGACAAGTTGGGTTTGCCACTGGACTAGGTGGTCTTGGCAGGAAGTAAGTTAATTCTCTGACCCTCAGTGTTTCAGGTTGATCTTTAAAGGGAGAGGCCTGGGTTTTAATGGGATTTTCAGAAAAGGGAAATAAGTAGGTTGTGGATTTTTTTTGTCAGGATGGTCTGTATGGATGCAGGCACCTCTTTTGACAGTGAAGTATTTTCTGGCTGCTGTGGACCCTGCTGCCATTCAGCCTCATTACATTAATACAAGCTGCCCCTGGAGGCTGGTCTCCCCAGCCTCTTATTAGGTCTTCCAGAGAAGGAATATCGCTGTTCTGTATTAACTTTGCCTCATTATTCTTGCCTTTGAATGGCTGTGTATTTGTTACATTCTTTAGCGTCTGGAGGAAGAGTGTGGCTCAGATCGCGCTGATAACGGAGGCTCGTTGGCAGACGAGGAGGAAGCAGCCTGAGTCGGAGGCTTCCTCTGTCGCAGCCCTGCAGCCAGTTTGAGTGGAAAGATAAGCGGCAGGTCACAAAAACCACCTCGCTGTGGGGGTCCAGCCTAGGCTTGGTGCAGGATCCTATTGGGTAGAGTTGGGGAGCTCAATGGTGGGGCAACCCTGGACCGTCCTCAGGGTCTGGATTGGGTGTATTTATATACCTGGAAGGTTCCTACTTAGACAGAGGTTTAATCTCCTTGTTTCTGTGTTTACTCATTTAATACCCTAAAACCTTACGGGGCAGTGGGTAGCAGCTGCCCACCCTGAGCCCCGTCTGTCAGAGCCAGGTCGGCCGGGGTGGGGTCATCAGACACCCACCCGCAAACTGTCCACACCCAGAAGCCTCCGGGGAGGCTTTCCCCAGAGGGACAGTGGGTGCGGCAGCTGGCGGACTGGCGTGGCTTCCCTGGCACGTCGCGTCAGTGCCTCCTCTGCTAACTCTGAAAATCAGAGCAGAGTAACGGACTCATCACAGGCGTTCCTGAGAGTGAGAACCTGGGAAACTGAGGCTCCCTTCCCTACGGAGCAGAGCAGCCTCTGCCGCTACCCCTCCCAGGGTTCACCTCACAGCGGCCGTTTGTTGTGTGACACCAGGGTTCCCTGGCCAGGGACAGTGGTGGGATCATCGTCGGGTGACTGCTTGGAGTGGCCGGGTCCCTCCCGGTGCTGGGCTGAGACTGCAGGGGCAATGCTCTGCATGGAGGAGAGCCTCCAGTCGGACACGTTAGTTTGACTTTCAGTGGTAAAGGCGGTGGCTGTCAGTGCTAGTCGCATCAGAGGCACCTGAAGTGTTTGTTAAGGCCGCAGGTTGCCGGGCCTCACCTCAGACCAAAGAGGTGGGCCCCGGCACCCGGAGCTTAAAACACACAAACCAGACTTGCTCTGGGGATAGATGCATTCTCCCCTATTCCTACTGCTGATGTACGACCCAAAACCTTGGACATTGTAGATAAAACAATCATAAGATTCCCAGAGGTGGAGAGAAGGCAGGCAGGCAGGCTGGGGACCCAGGGAGTTACATGGTCGTGAGTCCCACGGGCGGTGTTTTCACTGCACATACCCCAGACCCGGAGCGGAAGAAGCCAGCAGCACAGATGGGGCAGTGGGAACAGACACAAGCCCCAGGCAAAGCCTGTGCCCCAGCCGGTGGCGGAGGAAAGGGGTGGCCTGGCAAGGCAGAACACTCCAGGCAACCACCACTCATCCAGCCAAACCACGCAGAGAAACTGGTCCCCAGCCAGCCAGGCTGATACCCACCTTGCCAGGCTGTGATGAGGTACCCCAGCCTCCCCGAGCTGGTGTCAGAGGCCAAGAGGAGAGCCGGGACTTTGAGCGCTGGCAGCTGGTAACAGGCCCCCTGGTCAGTGCAGAGCCTAGACTGGCCTGGGGTCACAGGGCCTGGTGGGGGCAGCAGTTGGGTACCCATGCCCTTCTGAGCCAGCGGAAGCCCCATGGGATGCCAGAGCCCCCACCCTCTGGTGGCGTGGAGCCCCCTCCCCCTTGGGTGTAACAAGTCCAGTGGGAACCCATGCCTTGACTTCTGCCTGGTCACAACTAGGTGACGTCCCTCTCCTTCCCCTGCTTGAGCAGTGACCTGAGAAGATAAAATTTGAGATCAAGAGTCTTAAAACACAATTCTCAAAATGTGCCGATTTCAGTGGAAAATCACATGCTGCAGCAGAAAGGAGGAAACTCACCATCAATGAAAAAGAAAAAAAACAAAACCAAAAAAAAAAAAACAGTGAATACCAAGATGACAAATGTTAGAATTATCTGATAGAGATTTTGTGGCAGCCGCCTTAAAAATACTTCCAGGAGCAATTGTAACACTCCTGAAGCAAGTGAAGGATGGAAAACCTCAGCAGAGAAAGCAGGAAGATGAGCCAAATGAAAGTATCAGAACTGAAAAACAATCGCTGCAATGAAATCGCAATGGGTGGGCTCAGCCGCAGAGAGGACGTGCTTTATAAACATTGCTTATCTCATCGAATCAAAGTCAGGCAGAATATGTCATCACAAATATAGATGTGGCAGAATTTAATATTTATTATCTAAGTTTGCCACCAAATCAAACCATATTTTAAACATACATTGTTGTTTAAAGAATTCCTATGGCGAACAACTATATTGCCTGTTTACAACGGGCGTCCTGTGAAATGTCTCAGTGTGTGTCATTGGAAACCGTCCCAATGTGTGCTGGTAAGGTTACGAGGCAGCTGAAATCCTGTCAGCCTGTCCTTGCTGGGCTGAGAGGAGTGCATGGCTGGAATGCAGAAAGGAACGTGTGTCTCTACCCTGCTGTCCAGACCACATGGAAATCAGTCAGAGATACCGGTCAGAGTGTAGGTTTTGAGGGGGATGCTGGCACGTGTGGTGTGTACAGAAGGTCAACTAAGGTGACAAGTCCAGAAGACTTAGCAGATGAGGAATGTTTTCAAAACCTGGGGTAATTTGGGATAAAGAAGAGGGTCTGGATTGGGTGTATTTATATACCTGGAAGGTTCCTACTTAGACAGAGGTTTAGTTTCCTTGTTTCTGTGTTTACTCATTTAATACCCTAAAACCTTACAGGGCAGTGGGTAGCAATTATAGGAAGGCAACTTTTGAAAATACAGTTAATTCTTAGAGCTGAGTTTTATTGTCTGTAAAACAGCAAATGCTTGTAAACGAGTCTAAAATCCACCTCTCTGGGTTAGATTGATACTGAATCAAAATTTGGGGACTAACTGGCATGTGTGTGTGTTGGTGCCCACCGGCTGTGTATGGTGTTGTGTTAAGCTGCTTCTTGCGAATGTCGCCCAAAGGGCTGGACGTGGTCTCCCCTGGTCCCTGGTGGAAGCTCCCAGCCCCACAGCCTGGTGTGCTTTCAGACTGGTTCCCCTGCGCGCTGTCCCTGAGCAACGTGCAGAGCTGAGAGTGCTCATTGAACATTTATCTGGCATATGCTTTCCTCTTCTGTCCTTCTGTCTTGATGCTCTTTCATGGAGAGATGGGTATGTTCTTCCCCTCTGTCCTGGATGACAGCGCCTCAGTGACAGAGGTCATGAAGGTGGAGTGGGCTTCTTTGTCCCTGCTCCTGGGGGTGGGACCTGAGAGGACCAGGTGGCTGCTGACCCTGGTCCTTCCCTAGCACCTGGGCTACCATTCACCTCATTGGCTGTCCGGGTCCCCAGGGCTGCCCTGGAATCTTCTGTTCCCACTCTTCCCCATTGCTGTCCTCGGCCCCAGCTACTCCGAGGTCTCCTTTGGGTTCGCAGCCAGAATGAAGAGCATCATTTGAATCTGCAAATGTCCTGCTTAACTTGCGGGCTTGTGTCCCGCTTTTTCCCCCCTAGGGGAGGGAGGATGGAGTCTGCTCATTTGCATTTGGCAGCATCATTCACAGGCTCTTTGCCTTCTTCCTCCTTTTGTTCCCTCTACCGCTCCCACCCATCTTGAGTGATGTATAGTCCTATTTTCTTTCTTTCTTTCTCTGAATTTCTCCATGAAATTCTGATTTAGAGCCTGCTTGTGGTCCCCTGAGGCCACCTTGGCTCCTGCCTATCCTCTGTGCCCCAGAGAAACGCTCCTCTCAAGTGCTTGAAGGAAACAGACCAGACACTTGACCTTTTCCACTTGTCCTTTCGGAGCAATCGATTCTAGGCCTCTTAGGGGGAAGAAGTGAGGCCCAGAGCAAGTGCATGTGTTTGCGTAAGCATTAGTAGCCCTCGTGGCGTGCCCTGGTCCTGCAGCAGAGGACAAGCCTAACTTATTCATTTACAGCTTCTTTTATTGCAGAAAAAGGAGTGGACCTGGGATGAGAGCAAGATGCTGGTGATGCAAGACCCTATCTACAGGTAAGAGCCCAAAGATGCTGGTGATGCAGGACCCTATCTACAGGTAAGAGCCCAGCCCCCCAGGGTCCACTCTCATCTCCTGGAGCCACCACCTGGCTCATGCGTCCAGACAAACTAAATTTCTACTGCTTTTCCCTTTTGAGACCTGTTGTTTTGTAGCGGTGAGCAGCAAGAAGGAGATCTACCTCATCTTTCAAATTAAGAGGAAAGCTCTTCTCGTGCTCAGTTGCACTGCTTAGGAACGATGAAGGATTCTGCTTGGTGTTTGATCCAGATCTTTTGGTGGTTATTTGAGGTCTTTTCATTCTGTGCTAGTTTTATGTTAACTGAGATTTCATAATTGCATATCTGTTGTTCAAAATGAGAGAACCGGGTTTTTCCGTCACCCTGTGCTCACAATTTCCCATAGTTGTGGTCTGTGCTACCTTCCTACCCTTTCGGAAACTGTAGAGAAGGGGTTTGGGGATCATTTGGGAAAGCAGGAAGTCACAAGTATCATCCTTAGAAATTGCTTTCATGATGAGACTGGAATGATTCCCATAGAGATTGAGGACTGCCCCCTGTGTGCGCTCCGTGGGCCAAGGAGTGCCTGATGGTAACGCGTGCAGAAAGCCAGGGCCCTACTGGGGCCCGCGACGGGACCCCGACTCACCCATGTCATTCTTCTGCGCTGCAGCTCTGTTGGCCAGGCCCCACCCCACCCCAACCACCTTCCTGTTTTCTTCAGTGGGAGAATGGGTATTTGGGATTCGGAGGGACCTAGATTTATGTTTGGATTTTGTCTCCTCTCAAGTTGCTTGCCTTGATTGACAAAGTAGATAAAGGTAGGAACTCAGCTGAGAAGTTGGCATCATGGTGGCCTTGCCTCTGGTCAAAGAGTAGATGCCCGTGAAATGCAATTTCCCTTCGTGCAAACAAATATGCATACGTGAAAATCCCCATGCCAGGCACTGTGCTGGGTCACTGAGCGGCTAAAGTGAGTAAGTCACAGTAGTGCCATTATAGAAGTCACTGTGCTTTTGAATTTTAGTTTTCCTTCCTAGGTGTCTTCTGCATTAGTCTTATTGGGCACTGATAAAAGGAACACATTTGATTAAATCAGTCCCTTGTAGATTTATGTTCCTTGATATTAGGGATAGACTGGCAAGTAAACAAAAATCCTTTTTTTTTTTTTAACCAAAGGTAGTAAATTAATTAACTTGAAGCCTTCAGAAGCCACACTGGAAGTATTTCTCTAGTTGATTATTGAGTATAAAGAATCAAACCAGGCAGAGTCCCCACAGGATTTTCAGCAGTCCCCCAAATGGCATTAATTTCACATCCAAGCTATTGGTCAAATGATTAGAAAGAGAGGAAGTGCCTTCCAGCTTTGGCCCTCCGTGTTGAGCCACACTTTATTTTTGAGTAAGACAGCAGCAGGTTGCTCAGGGCTGATTGGGGAAGGGAGTAAGGATGCATGGAGGGCTCATATGCATGGCTCACGGGGCCAGGCACTAAGGAAGTGGGGCTGTCAGTCTGGGCCCAGTTGGGAGACAGAATGCATACGGTGCTTTAGACAGGAGAATATAAAGAATTACCAAGCTGTAACTGTGCCTCTGAAGTGTAAAGAGCACTCCTTAGAGTCCTGTGAGGCTGAAGGAGGGCACGCAAGTAAGATGAGCGTGGAGGGGCCTCTATGCTGGGGTCCAGACTTCATTGTGGAAGGTGTATTGCAGCCACTGGGTAGCAGAGAAGCCCCCTGGATTGCTGAGGCCAGGGCTGGGCCCCAGTTGCTGGGAAAATAGGAAGCAGCCCTCGGGGGTGGGCACAGCAAGGGAGCTTAGCATCCTTGGGGATGGGAGGCCTGGAACACACAGGGTCTTTTATGCAAAGGCTGTGGGAAGGTGACCAGCAAGTCACGCTGGGGACTGGACTATGTGTTTTGGGTGCATGGCTGGGGCAAAACATTCCCAGATGACCTCAGACCCACACTGCTGATGGACTGGGCAGCAGCTGTGACCCGTGGGAGAAGCCCTTTCCTCCCACAGCATCCTTCATCTGGGCAGCCTGCTCGCTGTAAATGGATGGAGAATACTTCATGCTTAACAGAGCAGTGTTAAAAGGGCAGGAGATTGATGACACATACAAGTGGCGAGCAAGACGTGGTCCTTCCCCGCAAAGGCTCTGCAGTCGGACGGGACTTGGCCTGTGGCGCCTCATTCAAACAACCATGGGTGGTGGAATCTGTCATTCCCGTTCTTAAGATGAAGTTGAGCTTCAGAGATATTAGATAACTGTTCCGTGATGACGTAACTAGTATATGGTTGGAGGACTGGCCCCCAGACTTTCCTTCCTTCTGTTTCCCACACCATTCAGTGTTGTCCACCTTCCCAGACAAACCCACTCACTTGTTTGCCTTCATATTTTTTTATCGATCCAAAATGATATCCTACCAAAATGCAGAACATTTTGTAGGGCATAAAAAACTAGATTTTAATGGAAAGTGTCTTCTGTCAGGGATTGAGAAGCCTATTCTGTGCCATTTGGGGAATTCTTGGGAAATCAGGGACCTTGGGCAGCATGTTTCACTGAGTCAACAGTCAAGGGTGTAGATGATCGAATCAGACAATTAAGGAAAGATGAGTACTCTCAGACTCCGGAAGCAGATTCAATTACAAGCAAGGTAAAATAAATTGATTCTTAAACTCAACTGGTAGTACAGAATGTTGATGACAAAGATTTTAAAACCATCCAGACGGAAAATATACTGCCTACAAAAGAACACAGGCTGATAGGAAAAGTGGAAGACAAAAGACAGTGAATAATCTTTCAGGATATGGTGAGTCACGTTCAGTGCCGAAGCTTAGAAAGTTCGCCTTTAGTACTTTATTATGAGAGTACGAGAGAAACACCCAGGGCAGCCTTTCTGAAGGCTTGCAGGTGAGAAGGGCCCGCACCCTGGAAGGAGAGTGGGCGGCTCCGATCCAGGGGCGTAAAGGCAGGAGAAAGGCCGGCGTGAATGGGACGGACTGTGCAGCGACTTCTGCAGGAGCTTTCATCAGGGGGAGCGGAGTCTGCCAGCCACTCGGTAGGAACTGGAAGGGGGGCACGGCATGATGATTGAAAATGAGCCGTGGGATTCAACACGTGGGCGCTTTTAAACAAGGCGATGGTCACACCGGTATAAAGGGAGAAGGAGAAGGTCCCATGGGAGTTAAAATGCACTGAAGGTTTTTAAAAATGTGTTTTATTTTGTAATGGAATGAGATACTATCCTAGCCTAGAATGCCTAGGTAGAACCACATAATTAGAGAATATACATGGTAATTAGTCGCTCTAGTGTTTTGTGGAGTCAAAGACATGCTCTCGGGATTCTTAAAGATGACCCTCCCTATCCATGCTGACCCTCCGAAATCAGACAGTGACTCCCCAGATAGAGACACTGCTTCTCTATAAGCCCCCTTCCTTCAGACCCCCACAAACCCAGCTCCCCACGGTGTCACTGGATTATGGAAGGGAGCAGAGGCCCCAGGGCCCTGGAGGCTGAGAAGACCACGAGCAGACTGGAGCTCTTGCACACGTCTCGTCTCATTGGCCGCCTCTTTGATGCCCAAGGGGCTGGGTGACTGTGTGTCCTCCCATGTTACCTTTGTAAGGCTGAGTGTCTTCCGCTCCTGCAGCCTCCCAGTGCGGGAGGTCCTTTAGGGGCCTCTGCAAACTGGGGAAACTGGTAACCAGGGGTTCAGAGGGAGCCCACCTAGCCTCTGATCTCTCCCCAGCTTCTCCTCTCAGTTCTGGGCCAGCCCATCTCAAGGACATGAGCGTCCATCACGCGAGTGGCTGATGCTTTATGTAGAGTTAACGTTTTTATGTTCTCTGGCTTCAGAACCTTTCATAGTATTCATTGCCTTCTCATACATATGCATGAGTAAGAATTACCCAATTTTCTGCATGGGGAAACTTATGAACTAAGAAGGGGAGAGAAGTTTCATTCATGCTGTCTGGCTTCAGTGAGTTCCCTGGGGCTGCTCTGCAATCCCTTACTCGCCCCAGGGAGAAATGCTACTCACCAAAGTGCCAGGCCCTCCCCCGCCCTCCTCTGCCTATAGACTCTGTTACCCTTACTCTACCTAGTTGACAAGTGCCTTGAGGGAGCGCTTGCAGCCTTTGGTCTGAGCAGCGTCCTTGAACTTCCTGCTCTTTATTACCTTCTGTCTAGGTGCCAATCACCTGTGTGTTTTCCAGTTCCTTCTGATGGCTCCAGTGATAAAGGATGATCCCTCCTCCCTAAGAAACCCAACGTTCCTCTGGGAAAATGAACGCGGAGACGTTATACAAAGCAGAGAAGCAGTTTTCCGGATGCATGTCCTCATTTCCTTCACAGTACTTCTCACACTGGCAGATTTCATTGAAAATTTTAGAAAATCTATTTAGACAAAGTGTGGATGGAGGTAGAGAGAGCAAGGCCTCGTAGCTTGGATTGTCGGTGCCAGAGAGGTGAAGACAGCACATGGAGGTTAGCTTTGCCTCTTCCCAACCTCCGCTCCCCAGACAGTCTGGGACCCCCGTGAGGAGAGCCTAGCAGGAGATGACCTCTGAGGTTCCTGGGCCTTCTCCTCCCCTCTGGTACACCTTCGTGTCACTGCTACCAGTGCTCCGTGTTCTGTGCCCTGCTCCACGTGTTTTGTAGGCATCCTGAGCCATGGCCAACCCGATCTCGCACTTTCCGTGGGCCCCTCCCTCCCTGCCAGTACATTCCACTGTCTTCTATCCTGAAATACCCTCCCTCGCCCCTTTGAGAGCGCCTCTTCGGTCCGCCCTTGGCTCCTTCTCCAGGGCAGTGCCCGCCTGCAGCTCCCCATGGTCTGGCTCTCCCCTACTGTGTGGAAAGTGCTCCCTCGGTGCATGTTGTATGTGCCGCCTGCATCCCCAGATCACCAGCACTTCCTGGGGCCTCGTGCGGTGCCTCCCTCCCCCTGGTCCTCCTCTCTGTCTTGTTCTGCTTCCTCTCTTTGTTCTTC